ATTTATCGACAATTTCTGGAGTTGTTACTTTAAAATTGTGTTTTAAAGTTATCAATATATGGATATGTGGCAAACCACGTTTTTGGAATTCAATAACATACATATGCTGCAACTAAACCAAAAAAATTTTGTTTAGTAATTAAATCTTAGTTTTTAAAGAAATTAGTAGTAAAGAAGTTAGTTTAGTAAAGAAATCTTTCAAAATTTATATATATTTTTAATTTTCAGATTCAGAATAAGAAAACTGCTTGAGAATGCAACGTTCTTGCTTTGAAGAAAATTCTTGCTTTGTTAAAAATTTTAATAATGTTGAATGTTTAATGTTTGGTTAATTTTTTTAATGTTTATCAAGTATCAATTATATGCATATGTATTAGGGTGTGTCATTTTGGAGCAACTTTTTTTTTCATTTTACAAATAGCATATATACTTGCAGAAAGGTAAAATAAGATACCTATTAAAATTTTAGTCCTTAATATTAATATTAAACGACCTGTTAATATTAATATTAAGGGCTAAAATTTTAACATGTATCTTATTTTACCTTTCTGCAAGTATATATGCTATTCGTGAAATTAAAAAAAAGTTGCTCTAAAATGACACACCCTAATATGTATACTATATATGTATACTTATATAGTAAGAAGACTTAGAGCAGAGACTATAATAATTTAAATATTTTGCACAAAAAAAGTTTTGCATAAAAAATGTTCAATATTTCAAAGATATTACAGTCAAATTCTGTAAATGTTATTTCTATATATCTAAATAATTAAAAAAAAAAATCTTGTATTCAAATATAATTAAATAATTATTCTCTGGATTTAAACTTTATTTGTTAATGATTATTATTGGATGATTATGTGTTATATCGTAAAAGAAATAGTAGCAATCATATTTTAATGAACTTTTACATGTAAAAGGGAGAAATGTGTATTTATATTTTAAATATAATTAGATACATACACTATATAGATACATTAAGCAATATTTAAATTACTTATACAATTATTGTCTCGCTGTCTTATCTGTATTTGTATGGAAATACTTACACAATCTTTATCGGCCGTATGTCCAACGTTTATTCCATTGCTGTGATTAACTGATATCGTCGATATAGTATCCGCCATTGTAATAACGTTAACAAAAAAGATATAATAAATAAATGTTTAAATTGTCTAATTTATTCAATTAATTGAACATTTAATAAATATCATACAAAGATCGAAATGACAGGAACTAAAATTAGCAGTGAAAAAATCTCTTAATATTTTTAATATATATTATATATTAATTAAATTCGAACAACTCGCTGTCACAAAATTCATGTTTTACAACGCGCAACACTTGTACATACACACCGAGTAGTTCTTGCGAGACACCGCACATGACCTCGTTTTATAACTTTTGTTTCCTCGCCTTTCGCGAGACATTCACAAATTTATTTCCGTGACATCACTATATTTACATATTATTCCTATACTATTCCACACATTTCTATATACTTATAATTTTCTGCTTATAAAAGTATAAAAAACTTGTTTGTCAAAGGTGTTGTAAAACAGACCACAATGTGACTTTGTTAACGTCAAAGAAATTACAAGTAAGTATGAATAATTTTTCCTTGTAAGAATAAAAAAATTTAGCATGCGGTATCTTAACAATCGTAATCTAGTATGCTTGCGGTGAGAGATTAAAAGCCTCAATAGCTCATTTTATTTGTCACACTTTTAATTTGAATGTGTATCTCTTACATGTATACAAATTTATATAACATAAAAATTTTGACGGGTATAAAGTACTATTACATTACATTCAGAATATGTGATGGATGAGGAAGTCTAAATATAGATGTTGCGAATATAAAACATAAATGTTTTCTAATACGCATGATAACCCATACTTTGACGCAAAGTCATACATTCGAACTCATCAATTTTCAAAGTATTCGTCTTCACTTAATATTTTCCTCGAGTTGAATCTGCGTTTTGAGTAAGAAACATAACGACGCACCTGCCTGCAACATATATCTCTCAATAATAAAAGATTACTGTTTGCGCAAAGTTTATCAAATTAGTGTTATGAATGTTGGAATTGTACAGTTAAGATTATCTACAGCAAGCCACGAAACAGATGTCACAAACCTCGCAGAACATTCGTTGGAGGTTTGCCGCGACATTCTGCAATTCGTATAGCTCCTTCACGAGATTGACTTCGACCAAGTCCTGGGTGAGTTCGTTTCCTGGACGTTGACATCGATGACTTAGCCTTGTATGAACCAGAGCCATGTAACCTTTTTTATCAGCTATTGACTTTTTTATGTATGTGATATTGCTTGTCATGACAGTAACCTGTTTTATGATCTACAAAGAAAATTACAATAAAATTATAAGACAAGTAATAGCAAAACTTTTGAATTAAGGTAATAAAAAGCTTAAAATGGTTATTTATTTTCCTCGACTGTTCAAACTTCTTTCATCAAAAATTAATCAAAGATATTTTTCCAGAATAGATATTAATAGTCGTATCCTTTTCCAATGCCCGTTTATTAGAAAAGGATGCGACGCTTCAAAAATATTATTATAAAACTAAACAACAAGGAATAGATATTAATAGTCGTATCCTTTTCCAATGCCCATCTTTAAAAAAGGATGCGACTAAGAATTCTATTGCTTGTTCCTTATTTTTTGCATTGTGTCCGATTCTTACGCTTTGAAAATATTATTATCAAACTTACCTCTCTCTCTCTCTCTCGATTATCTCTCTTTCTCTTTTTTTCTCTTTCTGTCCCTCTACTCTCCTCTTAAGTAAAGATGATTACATGGATCTTTCCGTTACAAATCACCCTCACTCACGCTAACCACGCGTCATGCGTCATCCCTCACGACACACATTGACACGTGACGAGGTTAAAATATAGATAACATTTAATACGAAGTAACGCGCGCAACGCATCGAGATAACCAATCAGCATCGCGGTAAAAAGGCAACAATAAATTCGACTATCGACTTAACACGGCAATTTTAAGATAGGATTCTTCAGTTTTTTCTACCTCTATTTTATATACAATTTAAGATTTATATCAATTAGAAACAAAGCCATGCGATCCAAGCCTAGGTCTTTTTGGCAGCCTTATATTAGTTTGTGTATACATATATACTATATACTATATATATATATACACATAAATTTTCCAAACTACTGCGCGCCGATTAAATTTTCGGACTTAAAACACCATAATTGTTAGAATTAAAAACCATTCCCTCCCCCGAATTAAATCGACTCGATTTAATTAATCGGCGCGCAGTAGTTTGGAAAATGTATATGTGTATATATATAGAAATACCCCTCGCGAATGCGCTGTTAGTTCGTTCCGGCCATCCATGTGAAGACACTGCGCTCTGCAAGATTTTCTGCTTATTCACTGTAATTTTGCTGGTAGTTTCGATAAGAGGTGAGTAATATAATATTTACATTACAGAATTAAATTTGACGCATGTGATAGGCTAAAACACTATAAAATTAGATTGCAAAATGATTTTAGAAACACACGTTTCTTTAATATATATTTTAAGGTTGTAAAGTGAAATGATTGAGTTTGATAATTTTGCGCCCAAAGTTGAAATTTTGAGATTGATTGAATTTTGGAGACTGATAAAATTTTAAAGTTGTTTTTGTAATTCATAGACAATAGGTATAACGATAACTGTGTGTTAAGAGTTACCAAGACTGTTTAGTTTACAATGTAAGGTGCTTACAGAAAAAATCATTGCTTAAGTTTTGATTTGAATTTATAATGATCGTTATTTGTTAACACATTCACTTATTTTTATATGTAGGTACTTACTAGACGATATTAATGCATAAATATAAAAAAAAACATTTTGTTATTGTTTCTACTTCATGTCACTGGCTAAAGCCAAAGTAATTTTTATAGGCACGATATTATCACACCAGTTCGGTAATACCGCGTTTTCTCATTTTTTGGAAAATTGTTAATATTTTAATTTGTGTTTAACTTTGAAGATTATTACTACTATATATAAATAACCAAATAAATTACCTATCTAAAACTGCACATTTTGTTTTTTGAAACATTTCTAAGCTTAGATATACGCTTCAATTCTTAGGGGCTCGGTAATATCCAACTCCCTACCATATGCGCCGCGCATGCGCGAAAAACCGGGCCAGATTCACATCAGATCAACAATATTTTTACGCTGGAAATGCTTTCTTGGTATCTCGGCGTGAATCTGAGTTGCTGTTACACGATAATCAAAGAACGATCTTTGGAATAATGTAGAGATGTAAAAATAATTAATAAACATAAAAAAATTGCAGTAAAAAATTATGTTGATCCCTCTTGCAGAAATTTTCATGCTTTGACCTATACTAAAGCCGGGATTTAGTTGCACATTTCGGGCCGATTCCCAAGGCGACGCCGACGCCTTTTATACCCCCATTACCGCTCGAGGCTCAGCGGCCGAGCCGCCGATCGCTCACGTGACGCGTAATCTCAGGCGAAATATTCTCGCTATTTGTAGAATAAATTTCAATCTACTTTTGTTTTATATGATTCACGCTTGTTGAAGTATAAAAAATTGAAATTTATACATGTAATATGTGTATATAATGTATGTGAAGTACAAGAGGGTGGCAGTGTAGTCTTGTGGTAAAGCGCCAGACTCGTAATCCCGAGGACCCGGGTTCGAGTCCACCTGACCACAGGAATTTTTAATTCCAAACTGCCACCCCCCGCACGACTGGGGCTCGTGCGGAGAAACTGGGCTATCTTTCGGAGGAGAAATGGATGGTGGTCTTTTCATTGATCATTTCTTCTATATCCGCGATCAGCTTTGTGTTGGTCTTGTTCAGAAATTAAATTTGAAATTGGTCGTCAAGCTTGGGGAGCTTGGGGGTTTTTTTTTATTTTTTATACTTCAACAAGCGGCGTTTTTATTAAATTACTAAATTATTTTAAAAAAATGAACATCGACGGTGGCTACAATAGTAATTTTTTAATCTCTGTAATTAAACTAAGCAAAATCTTCTTATTTTTCGTGACGCAAGGGCGGCCGTACATCTTCTCCTAAAAACATAGTAACCGCGTCTTCGCCACCATCAGAATACGATTTCTTTAGAGAGTCGATAGTTACACCAGCCTTCGCCATTTTCGTAAGCATTCTTGTGGATACTCCCCCCTTCAGGCAATCCAAACCATGCCTGTTTACTTTAGTTTTAGCAGCTTCCACCTGTGTCATAAGTACCGAGTGTACAGTCACGGAATTGGATCGTAGTTTTTTGTTGTTGATGCCTACACACTCAATTGTATTGGACAGCATCCTAACGTCTACTAAACTATTATGATTACCATCGGCAGCCCTGCTCCCCACTAAATCCTCAGCCAAAACCGATTGACGAAAAGACTTTTTAGCTTTTATTCTTTCTGGTAGTTTTTTCTTCAAAAGAGGCAAAGTATCGCAGAATCCAAACACCACTGATTGAAAGTCTTGCAACAATCCCAGAGATCTCAACTCGTTCAACAGCATAGGGGCATCAAAACGTCCGCCATTATGGGCAATGAGGATTACAGGATCAGGTGTCAAGAAGTCGATGAAAGATTTCAAGGCCAGCCTGCGCGGCATGGTTCTCATCTTTTCCCCATTTCGAAACAATTCTCCATCATCCACACTCAACCCTAGGGGAGATAGAAACGGTTTCATTACTATTTAAAAAGCTCTTGTTTTTTTACCACTAAAGAATATCGTCAACACAAATTATACCTGTCAGAGAGACGCACTCGGTGAAAAGCCATGTGAGGGCACAATGAAAGCGTTGAATTTTTGCAAACCGAGTTTGGCGGAGACTTGGACGATTTCGGATGTTTTCGATAGCCCTGTTGTTTCTAGGTCAAAAAACGCTAAGGCAGTGGTGCTCGGAATTGGAGTATTTCGAATCAAGTAGCTATTATCGAGTTCTACAAACGTATTGAAACCACATCCAAGAATGGAGCAGCGGTCCCAGCAGGGAAAGTCTACCACGTAGCGTAGCGAGCGGAAATTTCCACGCGAGAACTAGCGCACACGATAAACAAATGATAGATAAATCGTAAACACCGAGGAATGCATGTAAAAACTGAGCAAATACGCAGTTCGAGCATAACAAGTCGCGAAGTGGGGGTAACCGCGGCGCAGTGGGGAGCGAGAGCGAGCATCGCTGCTCGAGGCAGTCTCTCAAATATAGCGTTAGCGTACAGACGCATCTAGCGAAAGTATAGTACTATCGGGAACGAAAGGTCTCTCGAATACGGAGATAGAATACGGAGATAGTTATCGGTTATACATTACCATCGGGAACTCCGTTACGCGTTAACAACTCGTGCAACATTTGCGAGCGGTACTGAGATACCAGGCATAGAAATTGTAGTGCACCGTCGTGCGGAGATTACCATATTGTAAAACTGAAAACATTCGACGATCTAAAATAAAAGATTTGTTATTTTGGAAATATAGTCTCGAAGTGATTGAACATACTTACCTTCTACTTACCTTGTCCATCGGCGATGATCCATCGTTGTCCAGCGGTGATCCGGTATGCGGCGAAGCGATGATCCGGGGAAGCTGATCCAGCGGCGGCGATGATCCATCCGGGGCAGGAACCTGAAAATAAGAAGAGTCATTAGAGTAGTGTTAATATTCGGGGCGTCAATCCACAGTACCTTCTCGATAGTAACAGGTCAAACCGAGTGGCGACCGTTCGATAGGAAGAAAATTAGCGCGAATCGTGGTCTCAAATAATACCGTCCGGTTACAACCCTTCTCACAGAAGATACACCGTTTATTTCTAGTTGCATAGCCGATAACTAATTTATTCTCGGATCCGATCCCGATGCCATGAGCTGAAATACGCCCCAATAACCAAGCGTCCTAGCACGACAGCGCACGCCGTGCTCAGCATATCATGCAAACATTATGCTGTCACTGTGTCACTTTTAAACAATAAAGCAGACAGCGCTAGCACGGTGCTATTGAGACCGCGCTCTTCGCGGTCGCCGCGTCGTTTAATGAGCCGTTCACCTGGTGTAGTCCTCCGCCGATTGTCGGAGCCTCAGCTTTGCGCATTACAGGGGGACCAGGCGGCAGCAGAGCCGGAGCAGCAACAGGGGAGCAGGTGCAGCCCCAGCAACCAGGGAGGCGGTTCTCCCAACAATGCCGCCGACGCACAGTGGAGTATTTATTTAAAAAACCTGGCCAAAATTCAAAAATATGAATTGTATTTAACATAGAAAAAAATCTTTTTTTTGTTGTTCTGGATAGTTGAAAAATCCAAAAAAAAGTGTCAGTGATGTCACACTCTACACTGCGCCGCAAGGGGGCGCCAAAAATGGCCAATTTTTTGAATTAAGAAATATTGTTTTTTTATTATTCATGTTACTGAGTATTTTGTACGAATTTGGGACAAAATTTATAAGTGTATGTTGTAATTTTGATAATGGACGAACAATGTAAAGGTATGTATTCTTACAAAATGGTATTCTCATGCACTCTTAGTTCAAAATACATTTTTCTCAATATTTTAGGTTATGTGTCGGGTGTTGTCGAGTGCTAAACTTTGAAAATAATTAAAATTTAGCTTTTTAAGAACCTATTAAAACAAAAAAAACTTCCACATCTATCCCCGAATGTATTTAAAAATGCGTTTAAATATTACTGTTTTTTGTATCAAAATATTATATATTTGTTTTTTTAGAGTTTACCAGAAGAGAGCTTTATCAAATAATTAAGAAAAGTACTGAACGATTGACAGATGACAAACTTATTGCTCTGGAAGACGAATTTATTAAAAAAACTCAATGTCCCGAAGAGAAAAAATCGGAATTTCGTCGTACTCTGCGATACTTCAAGTCGGACTTTAAAAAAAAATGGGTAGCCTCAAACTATATGGAAGAACGCTTTTTGATGAACAATGAGAATTGGCTCAATAATTCGATTCAATTGCGCACGTGGAAAACAATTAAAGCGGGTCGACCAGTGAAAGATTTTGAGGAATCAAGTGACCGAAGCAAACGTCGTAAAACTCAAGATCTAAGAAAGCAGGCACCTGTCGAACAGTTGACGTACGCAGTTTGTATGAGTCAAAGAGCAGCAGGCAATAACGATGTGTCTTAGATTATCAAAGATATAACTGTCAGTCCCACAAGAGCGAAAAAATTTCGTGCATCTGTCACAAATGCAGAGACTAAAACCGTCAAAAAGCTTCCACCATCACAAGCTCTGAGTATTTTTGTCGATGCGGATCTTTCACGAAAGCAATATGAAATTATTCAAGGAGCTAATAAGAATATCTATCCTTGTTATTCTTTATTAAAAAAAGCTAAAGTTCAGTGTTATCCAAAAGAGGAATCGATTAGTATCACGGAAACGAGTGCCGAAATCAAATTGCAGGATTTGCTTGACCATACTGTTTCAAGGTTGTGCACATATTTAGAACAAGTGCTAAAAAATATTACTGAAGAAGAAAGAAGAAATTTAGAATTAATTACTAAGTGGGGTTGTGATGGTTCTCAACAAACCGAACACAAACAAAAATTTCAAAATAATACGGATAACGATGCCTTCATTTTTCAAAGTTCACTAGTTCCAATCCGTCTAATAAGTAATATTGATGGGCATAAAAAAATCATTTGGCAAAATCCTTTACCGTCATCTCCTAGATATTGCAGACCGATTAGAATACGATTCGTTCACGAGACGAAAGATATTATAAAGAAAGAAGTTGAATATATAGAAAACCAAACACGAAACTTAATAAAATCTGAAGTTTTTCAACCCGATGCAGTTTCTCTATATATTAAACATATTTTGCTTCCAACAATGGTAGATGCAAAGATTTGTAATGCTGCCACTAATACTTCTTCTACGATGAGGTGTTACATATGTGGAGAAACTTCGAAAAATTTTAACAATTTAGCGAAGAAGAAAGAAGGAAATCCCGAAAGATTCAAATTCGGATTGTCGATCCTTCATATGCGAATCAGATTTTTTGAGTTTCTGCTGCATTTATCATATAAATTACCTATACAAAAATGGCAGGCCAGAAATGACGAGGATAAGAAGGCTGTATCCGAGAAAAAACGAAGCATTCAAAAATTTTTCAAAGAAGAAATGGGTCTACTAGTGGATATACCAAAAGCAGGATTCGGAAACACAAATGATGGTAACACGTCACGAAGATTTTTTGCAGAACCGGAAGTATCCGCTCGAATAACTGGGTTAGATGTTAATCTAATTCGCAAATTTAAAGTTATATTGGAAGCAATATCAAGTGGTTTCACGATAAATATAAAAAAATTTTCATCATACTTGACCGAAACAGCTCATTTTTACGTTAGTTTATATGACTGGCATCCAATGTCACCTACAATTCATAAAATTTTAATCCACGGAGCTACGGTTATTTTTCACGCACTAGTACCCATTGGGCAACTATCGGAGGAAGCTGCTGAGGCACGAAACAAACACTTCCGTCAATATCGACAAAATTTTTCGAGGAAATTCTCGAGAAAAGCTTGTAACAGGGACATATTAAATAGACTTTTAATAAACTCGGACCCATTTATAACGAGCTCGCGATCACGACCTAAGAAGAAAAGCAAACTGTTCAGTAGCGAAACGTTAGCTTTTTTATGTCCCGAAGAATTGGCATCAGTCACTGAAGATGATACGATGGACGACGAAGAAAAAGAAAACGAATCTGAATTAGAAGATTTTGATTAAATTTCAATTATTAATATCAGTAGAGGAAAGTCCCCTATTATGAGATAGGCTCCTAATATGCGACAGCGAGGTTTCTGTAGGTTTTTCCATTACATTTGTCTTTCAAAAACTTTAAATAAAGTTTTTTAATTGCAATATCATGTATTTTGCACTTTATTAGCGATTTCCCGGGATCTCTCATATTAGGAGCGCACTTTTGCGATTTTGCCGAAAGCTCATTTTTCACATTTTTCTAATTTTCAGCAAAATTAATATTTAAATTAAATTTTACATTTCAGCATCTTAAAGCTTATTAAATTCCCTTCAAAATGACCTACTGTATTTTTCAATTCTGCCCATAGACTTCCGGCAATCACACAAAATAGATATGATATCTCATAATTGGGTACTTTCCTCATTATCAGTCTATAGTAAATATGTGTTTGGATTAGAATAAATATTAAATAAATTGTTATTGATCATCATTTACTGAGTAAAAGTTTATTTTATGTCGATAAAACTATTAAAATAATTTTGGCCAACTTTTATTATAAAATACTCCACTGTGCGACGCCACTAATGTCGGCACTTCAGGTTCCGCTCCTGAATCCCACGCCGCCGCCTTTTATCGAAGAGATAGCCGCGGTAGTGGGATATGATTTCCCGATAGGGCCGGAGAACCAGCCCTCTGACGAGTTCGAGACTCCGTCCGGCGAGAGTGATGGCGACGATGAAACGTGGAAGCTCCACTGTTAAAGCCACGCGAGGCCCGTAAACATTCCGGTGCAGCAGGAAGCATGCGGGATTTATATATAAATACGTGTTTATTTTTTCTGTAATTTTGGTTCTGAAGTTCTTATGTTTATTTTGAGTTTTGCGAGGCTATGAGCCAATAAAGTTTTAAGATTACACTTACAATATTAGATCGATTAGTTTTCGTTTCCGGAGAGACGAGCCCTCACAACTCGTTCAAGAAATAAGTCTAAGGTGCGCTGAAAGCCAGAATGGTCACATTAGTTTCAGATTAATTTTTGTTTCTTTGCGATTCTAACAAGCTAAGTAACATAGCGTTGAAAGGGCGGCAGGCCCATACGGCCTATATGGCATATAGAAATAGATTATGAAACGTTTTCGGCCAGTCGGCCCAAAATAGGTTAAAATGTTACTTTGACACACCGCCGACCATAAAGGTTAAGTTTATTTGACGGTTCACGACAAAGTTTGATTTTATTTCGCGCACGAAGGTCGGCACGTTCGTTTCGATGCGTTAGCGGTG